ATTGATCCATCCATCATTGATCCATCCATCATCCATCATCCATCCATCCATCAACCCAAGTACTGCCCATCAACCATCCATGCACATATTCATCCATCCATCCATTCCTCTACCATCTATCCATTCATCATCCATCATCCACCCACCCACTCTCCCATCCATTCTTCTACCCTTCCTTGCCTCTCTTCTTCCACCTATCCATCTGTTCACCCATCTACTCATTCACCAAACCCCCACCTGTGTTCATGTAAATGCCCAACCATTAACTCATTTATCTGTAAATAAATATTAAGTGCCATTGTCAGCCACGTAACAGGCCTATTCAAGACACTGGCAGGAATGAAGACCAGCTCAGTCCATGCTCATAGGGGAGTGCCCAGCCCACTGAAAAGAGAGACAAGGAGTACCCACTTCCATGGGATACCTGCTGGGCAGGGCTGGGAGGGTAGGGAGTTTCAAGGAGCACTGACCTGGGCTGACCCCAGAAGCAAGGGTTACAGCAAACTTCCAGGCATGATGTCCAAGAGAAGCTGGGATGGTGTGAGGAGTCAGCAGCTGGAAAGTGGGGGTGGGAGTGGACAGGAGATTGTTCCAGAGAGAGGGACAGGCAGAGGAGAAGACTGGGGAGGTGTCTGACTAGGCTGGACCCAGCGTGTGGCCTCAGGGAACCTCAATTCCCATGCTGGGTAGACCCACCTCTGTTAGTTTCCTGGGGCTGCTGTAACAAAGCACCCAAGGTGGCCTAAAACAACAGAAATGTACTCTCACTTCTCTGGGGTCCACGTTTGGAGGGGAGGCAGGGCTGCTTCCTTCCACGGCCACCCCCCACCAGAGTCTGTTCCAGGCTCCTCTCCTGGCTTCTGGCAGTGACCAGTGATCTCCAGCCACATCACTGGAAACTCTCTCTCCCTGTCACACGGCCTTCTCCCTGGTGTGTCTGTGTGTCTCTCTCTTCCCTTACAGGGTCACCAGTCACCCTGGATTAAGCCCACCCTACTTCCGTATGACCTCATGTTAACTAGTTTCATCCTGGTCCATGTGTTTCCACGCGTTCCACCACCACCAGCATTGCACAATGAGAGCCGCTCGCGTTGGTGAGCGTGTGGGGCAACCAGAAGCACTCACATCTCGAACATCCTCCAAAACGACACTAATGTAACAATGATCATACGTCTCCAAGTACGGTCACACTCTGGGGTGCTGGGGGTTAGCACTTCAACATCTCCTGCTGGGGGACATGAGCCCCAGACACCCGTGCCGCCTGTCTGCTCTCCTGCTGAGCTGACATGCACCTGTTCCGATGCGGACCAGCGTTCCCGTCGGTTCCCGTTTTGCGTTCATGAACCCCTGCACGTGTGTCTGACACAGCGTGTGCATACTCTGTTGGGTGCACAGCTGTGGGTGGAATTGGGGCATTTGGGGATGTACCGCATCCCGGCTGGAACTCCTGAGTCAGAAGCAGAGCCTGAAATGGGGGTGCACCCGACTCAGAAGTGGGACACTCTCAGGAGAAAGCGAGGAGGAGGTGGAGGAAAGAACAGACACGGTTTCAGGTGAAGTCAAGCCCAGCCTGACCCACGGGGGGCTCGGGAGCACACTTCTACCTCAGACGGGGGTGCCCAGCATCTGCGCACTCGAATCAGTCAGTGACTGGCAGCCGGCCACCCCGGGCTGGCTCGAATCCCAGGCATCTCTTGGGGATGCAGTCCCCGGGTGTTCCAGGGGTGAGAGTTACACTGGAGCAGGTGGGGGGGATGGTCACACCTGGTGTCGGGAGGGCTACTGTATGTGGGGTGGGGCACCAGCAGCTGCCAGAACTGGGTCTGCTACTGTACGTTCAACTTCGTGGACAACGCAAACGCTTTCCCACATGGATGCGTTATTTTCCTACCCAAGATGTAGTTGGGTTCCCGGCACCTGCCTGCTCACAGACGTGGGTATCAGACTGCTCAGATCCAGCTGCTGTGGCAGGAACGTCACATCCCATCTGCTTTGCACATCCTCATTCTTAGTGGGGTTGAGTGTCTTTTCACAGGTGCATCAGCCATTGGGACACGTCACCTTTGCGTGTGCCTGCCCGCTTTCCTATTGCATTTTTGTGGTATTAGAACTCATCATACATATATATTGGCTTTTGTCCAGGGTTCCTGGCTCACTGCTCCCCAAATTCTTGGCATTTCCCAAGAGAAGAGCCATGGGAGCATCTTTTGTTACAATGTGTGATCTCTGGTCCTGGATTCATGAAGTCCCTTCCTGCCACCAGGATCCGATGTGTATGTTGTCATTCACAAGCCTCTTTACACCACAACTGGGTTTACGTTCATGAGGTGACTTTGGGAAATGCCTGAAGGAGAAGGACTGTTGCCAAGGGAACCAGCCCTGAATTTCAATCCCACCCCCTGATTTCCAGGGGAGCCCCGAGGGGGGTTGAATCAGCCGCCAGTGGCCAACCACACCTGTGTAGAGAAGTCTCCTAAAACTGGGAAGGACAGGGATCAGAGAGCGCCCAGGCTGGCAAACCAGACCCCCTCCATGCGCCACCGTGCTGGGCCCCGAACTCCAGGACAGAAATTCTTTTGCCTACGGACCTCACCCTGTGTGTCTCTCTCTGGCAGTTGATTCGGATCCTTTACCATCCTTGGTAATAAACCAGTAATCTAGTGAGTTAACTAGTCTCCCTGAGTTCCGTGAGCCACTTGAACAAATTAATTGAACCCCAGGAGGGGGTTGTGGGGACCTCTGACTTACAGCCATTTGGTCAGAAACACAGGTGATGCCTGGACTTGTAACTGGCGTCCGAAGTGGCAGTGGGGTGGTCACGTGGGACCGAGCCCTTAGCCGGCGGGATCTGACGCCAGGTCCAGGTCAGGAGTGAGTCAAACTGCAGGACACCCAGCTGGGGCTGCCCAGAATTGCTTGGTGTGGGGAACTCTCCCTCATGTCAGAACTGGATTCAGAATCAACACTGACCACAGACCGACACCGTCCCCCGGTTTATTGATTTGTAGGAGTTCTTTATATATTTGAGATCACTTCCATATGTGGCTCAGCCCCGGGCAGCATATGGCTGTCTGTCCACGGGCTGCCCAGGCAGGACCCCAGCCCAGACACCTGGGACCAGGACACCCGCGAAACTCCTGTCACAACCCAAGGGTTGTGGAGACAAGAACTCTCAGCAATGCAGGGGTGGCGGGCTCCATGGAAGGAGCGCCCTGGGACTGTCCAGAGTGGTGCTGCATCCCTGGGCTGTGCTTGGCTTTCCATGAGGATCTCTGCTGATTGCTGCAGACCCAGTGTGAGAGTGTGTGTGTGTCCATGTGCACTGTCCACATGCCGTGTGGGTGTGTGTCCATGTGCACATGCATGCACGCACGTGTGTGGGTATGAGGAGCACAGCCTACACATCTGCATGATCATGTGTGTGGCATGTGCAGCATGCATGCTGTGTGTACACGCATGTGTGTCCCTGTGTGTCCGGGGATATGGAGGAAGGACAGCCTGACCCACAGGAGTTCTGGGATGTCTTTCTCACTCCAAGACCTCTGGCCCCACAGCTCTCCCAGGTATGTGACTCCTAGAAGCCTCCCTGTGGGGGCTGTGGCCACAATCAGGCCTCTGTTTTGCCAGCTTCTTCCAGGGACCTGCAGGTGCCCACCCTGCACCTGGGGTGAGGGCACAGCTGGAAGAGAACAGGCCAGGGTCCTGCCTGCACCACGAGAGGCCACCAACAGTGAGTCCGAGTGGACCTTGCCTGCTCCCGAGGCACCTTGGTGACTGGGGAGCAGGGGGCATAATGACGCTGTGGACCATGTGGTTCCTCCCCTTGGGGCAGGTTTTTTGTTCCCCCCCCAGGGTGTGTTGTGATGGCTCATCTTCACCTTCACATGCAGAGGCTGGCAGAGGTGGGGACACCGGTGTGGACAGGACCCAGGGGAAGCAGCACAGGAAGCTCTGGATGGTTGAGGCGTGGCTCCCTGGCATGTGGCCGGGGATGGAGCTGACCAAGGACTTTGTGTGTGTCCCGTGGTCCCTGATAAAGTGACACCCGAAGGAAGCAAGGTGTACTTTGGGGGATCTGGAGGAAGAATGATCGCATGGGTGGGGTTATGAGGGTCCTCTTGTGGGTGTGCCTTCAGGATCCTCTGGCTGGGGCAGCGCTAGGAGGCTGGGGGGAGGGACCAGTGTCCTATGAGGTGGGTCATGGCCTGGCGGGAGGGACCCGCTGCCTGAATGCTCAGACCAAGGTAGGGATGTTGGTGTTTATTCCAAGCTTAACGATAAGCCAGAGAGGTCTCCTCTGGGCTGTGGCCAGAGCTGCCTGGTATCTAGAAGGACCCTTTTGGCCACAGAGTGGATAAGAGATCCTCAGGGGACCAAGGGCAGGGATCCACTCGGGACTCTGGGGTCCTATCCCCAGCAGAGGGGCTTGGGCCGGGGGGTGGCGGTGGTTTGACTACAGGGCTGGAGTCTGGACACGTGGAGAGCCTGCAGGGAGCTGATGGCGGAGGAAGGCTCAGGAGCGGCAGGACGGGTGGTGCAGAGCCCCTGGGCGTGAGGGGAGCTTGCAGGCCTGTGCCCTGGGGCGCTCCCTCTGGGTGGGAGAGGGGCTGCCGCCCTCGGGGCAGGGGTGAGCCACAGCTCGAGCAGAAGAAGGCGGCCACACAGCTACGGTCCATTTTCCCACGTAGATTTATTTTTGGTGACGACCCACACAAGGAGCCGACTACGGACACAGACAGACAGACGTTGACGACACCCTTATCTACACAGAGTACTCAAGGCGCCTCGAAAGGCGAGGGTCAACCCGATTCCTCCTGGCCACGACCGCCAACCACCTGCAGCCCACGAGCCAGCCTCCCGAGCGCTGGGCTCCTCAGCCCGTGGCACCAAGGTCCCCTGGCCGGGGGTGGCCGCGTGGCGGTGCGCACAGTGTGGCCTCTCAGCGCCAGGGGCACAGAGCCGCGTGCTGCCTCCGGCCGTGGCCTTCGGGCGACGCCAGTGTGCGGGCGCAGTGTGGCCGCGGTCCTCGCTTGGTGCTGCCGCTAACCTCAGGAACGGCGCCCAGAACATCAGCAGACAGACCTTCAGAAGCCGACCCTGCATTCTGAGAAGGAGTTCTGATGCACAGCTAAACAGATTTAAAAGCCATTCCCTCACGCCAGCCGTGTGGCTGTGGCTGTGACGTGTGCCCGGGAGAACTGGAACCCCGGCGGGCGCTGCCTCCCCAGGTCCTAGGTCTCCCGGCTGCCTGCTGCGGGGGCTCTGCGCGGTCAGGGCCCAGCAGGGTGGGGGCACGCGTCCCTTCCTCCCGTGGCCGGGGGTCCGCAGTGAGGTGGCCATGACTGAGCGGGGCCCACCGTGGGCAGGAGGGGTGGCAGCCACGTGGATCCCCGGAGTCGTGTTTCTGTTCTGTCAGCGAGGAGGAAATACAGAGCATCTCCATCACGCACACCAGGACCCTGGGCGGGCTCCGAGCACACGGGGTGCATGGTGTGGGGACACGTGGTGGCCCCCACTTTATTGCCTTTTGTGGTTTCCCCAGTGCACCTTCTGCACGATTAGGCAACATATGATATTTGGCTCTTTTAGTTTGAGCAAAATAAAATACCCAGGAAGTCATGAGCACTGGGCTCTCAGCATCCACAATTACCGCTTTTCTCCTCAACCCACGGATGACAGACAGCAAGACCCGCGCTCCGGGGCGGCCGGCGGGGGGCGGGGGCGGAAGGGAGCTGGCCTGGCACAAACAGAACATGGACGGATGTTTTCTACCTGCAGGAACGGGCACGGATCTACATTAAGCGATCACAGACACAGCACGGACGGCCAGTCCTCTCCCCGTGGCAAAGGAAGGGCGTGAGGGGCCCTGAGGCAGAGCCCCCGTGTGGTTCTGGGAAGGCAGGAGTTGGCACAGTGGGCGCCCCCGCCTTCCTCTCGAAGCTGGGGCTCCTCCTCAGCGGCGTCTCCACTGCGGGGCGGCCGTGCCAGGCCTCCTGCTGCCTCTACACCAGCAGCCAGTGGCGAAGCTAGGAAGGAAACAGGGTTTATTCGGAAGCAAAGCAGGGAGCTACCTGGCTAACGGCAGCTCCTGGCCACCGACCCGATGAGCCCTGGGAGACCCCGCGCAGCCCAGGAAGCTCATCCGGGAGGCGGGAGGCGCAGGAGCAGCGCAGCAGGCCCGACGCCCAGGTGAACCTTCCAGAAATACTCCTTGTATCGAATACAAGAATACACCGTTATATTGAATATGCAGGAATGAACGACGTTATGTGAACGATGATACATAATAAACCTTATGTAACTATATATGAATAAGTCTGTTGGCAAAGAAAAGACAGAGCGCACAGCTGCAGGGAGGGGCCGGTGCGGGGACCAGGCAAGTGTCACATCAGCGACTGGACAGACACTGGGCAGGCAGACCGGCGATGCCCCGAGGCCCCCGTGCCACCTCCCTGGGGCCTCTGAACCCGTCTCAGGGAAAGGCGGTACCCTGCGCCTGTGTCTTGCTTCGTGTGACCCCCCCAAGGAGCTCAGGGCAGGCCTGGCTCACCGCTTGGGGAGGCCAAGATCGACAAGAGTGGGTATTTAGTTCTCCAGCAAATGTCACTGCCTGTTATTAGGCAGCTGTTAGTTCAGCCTGTTTCTGAGCACCAACCATTCGATCATGCTCAATGGCAAAAACCGTGTTTTTAAATGCTTCAGAAGGAGAGCATGCAGGGCTCGTTTCTGACACAGCCACACGGGGGATGGGAAGACGCCGAATCTACCCCTGGTTGGACACCGCTCCCTGCCACCCTCCGGGAGGAGCTGCTGGCCGGGCTCACGCGGCCACAAGGCTCACGCTGCCTGCCGGGCTCCCCAGCGGCCAGAGCAGGACAGTAGCCCCAGCCCAGCAGAGCTGTGCAGGGCACACAGGCAGAAGGGAGCTGGGGCCCAGAGCCCGAGAGCTCCATGAGGACGTCCCACTTCAAACCGATCTACTTTTCAGGAACGCAGAAGTATCCACAGATGCAAGGAAACTATATGGTGCAGACGGCACACGAAAGATCCAAACTAGATTAGGAGCGTGTTTGCCCAGGGATGGATGGGAGGAAGCACAGGCAGGTGCACGTGGGTTACTATCAATGTGAGATTTCTGTGTGGAAGTTTGTGAGGTTTGATTTTTAGATAAATGACTAAATGGACTGAGAAAAGGGTGTTGTACAATTGTGGGCCAGAGTCACCATATACACAAAACTTCTGAGCGAGCACGAGAACCGGAGGACGGGGCAGAGCCCTGAAGAGAGCAGAGGCAAGGTTGGAAGGGATGGCTGCAAAGTTCCCAGAGCCGACCCAAACCATCGGTCTGCAGACCCCGGACACACACGTGGTCCCAGAGCAACAGCAAAGGGAGCTGCCAAGAACTCAGGGCTTCACGTCGCTGGAAGACAGTGGCTGTCTATCGAGAACTGTGTGCGTGGAGACACCCTCTTCCATGAATAAGGGCAAAATAAAGACATCTCCGGACATACAGGAGTGGGGACGTTTATCAAGAGATCTCCTTAAAGGAAAGTCTGAAGGATCTTTTTTTTTTTTATAAAGCAAGAAAATGATGCTCAAAGGAAAGATGTAGATGCCAAAAAGTAAGATGCAAAAATAAACACTCAATGTGCACATCGACCCAAGAGAGCATTTCTATACAAAATGGCAATAATAATAATAATAGTGTCTAATTTGTGGATTAAAAAAGACAGAAATGGAGTATTGAGTACTAACAGCATAATAATCAGTAGGAGAAGTTCTACATTCAGGATGGGAGTTAAAATGTTGTGCCACTTTCTATATTTAAAGTGAAGTATGTACGTTACAATTTCAAAGATAACTATAAAGGAATAAAGTATAGGCATATAAGTAAAGTATGTGAGTATATAAGTTCCAAACAGAGAGAAAACATGAGAAAAAGGGGAAAAAAAAGCAATCCATAAAAAGGAAATAAAGAAAAATAAACATTAAAAATGTGACAGAGTTAAAAAGCCTAGAATCAAGCCAAAAATATCAATAATTACAACAAATGTAAATGGATTCAATCTCGTCAGAGTAAAAAATTCCAGGTGTATACCAGGTTTGCAAAAGACACCTACATTTTGAGATCATTGTGAAGATGAAAGTTAAAAGATTGCAAAAGATGTTTCTGGTAAACTCAGGGGAAACCTGCTGCAAGTATCATTTCAGGCCCAGGCGACTTTCAGAGCAAAAGCACCACAAGGGGGAGAGGATGTGTGAAGTCCCAGGGGAGATGCGACCATTCTAAATGGGGAGTTACCCCAGAAAGCAGCCTCGGGATATATAAAGCAAAAAAACTGGTGGAATTTTGGCGGGGGGGGGGTGGGGTGGGGGGAACTGGACAAATACACTACCAGGGTGGGATATTCTGCAAACGTCTCCCAGTTACCCACGGTCAAGCAGAGCTGAAGTCGGCGAAGTGGTACAAGGTCTGAGTGGCAGGGTCACCAGTGTGACGTGGCAGACGGAAGGAGAAGCGCATGCCATCAACTAGAGGACACACTCGAATCCAAACACGCGTGTCACCTCTGCCACGGTGGGTCAGGGGCTCCGCCACACAAACGTCTTCACACGCCTCCAAGGGTAGGTGGCCCAGATGCGATCAATTCAGACACTGATCACAAAAACATCGATGAAACATCCCCAGAGATTTGGGGACTTGAAAGCAGACGTCCAAGCAACTCATGGGTTGACAAACTCACAACGAAAATTAAAATACCCTCAGTGCCAAACGATAAGGAAAAGGCTGAGCTAAGTGTGGCCGACGCGCCCTGTGCAGGGCCTTGAGCACTTCTCTCAGGAAAGAAGGGGGCTTGAGAATTAGGGATCTAAGGTCTCATTTAGAAAGTTAGCACTAGTAGAACAGAGCAAATCCAAGAAAGGCATGGGCCCAATCCTGCCACAGGCCTGCTGTGACCCCCGCCCTCTCCCCCTGGAGGCCCCTGGTCTCCGGCTCTCTGCAGCCCCCACCCCAACAGTCTGCCGCAGCCTGAGTGACCCCTTGGGTCGGGGTCCGTCAGAGCACCTGCTGCACACCCCCAGCCCTGTGAGGGCAAGGCTCTGAGCTGCTTCGGGCCCTCTCCCTTCTCCGTCCCTCCCTCACGCAGGGGTCTGCTCAGAGGCCACCTTGAGGACCCCACCCGGTCCTCCACCCTTCTGCTTCCTCTTTCTGCCGAGCTTTCTCATTCCGCCCACTGCCCGCTCCCCGCCCCCGCCGTCACTACAGGGGTCCTCCAAGGGTGAGCCAGGCAGCACCTAGGATCCGCCAGCGCACAGGCATTCCCCTGCCTTTGGTCAGGGAGCGACCGCAAGCTTGTGGCTTGCAGAGGGCCAAGAGGGCGGATGGCCTGAGGCTCTGAATTCTCCCCGGGGAGACGGGCACTCACCCTGAACTGGCGCACCTCCCCACTGTCCACCAGCTCGCGCTCCTGCTCTGGCGTGATGGCGTGGGCCAGTTTCTAGAAGAGAAGAGGAGGCCGTAGGCACTGGCGCACTCAGCGAGGGGAGGGGCCCCTGTAGACAGCCCGCCAGGTGCTGGGCCTCCCCAGACCCTGGAGCAGAGTCCAGCCCACGAGGACAAGCTTCTGTCTCTACGCCGAGCTTGCCACGGGCTCCGAGTAAGGCTGCACAGCGTGCAGCCCCTCTGAGTCTTGAGGCCAGGCCACCGGCCCGGTGGTTGGTGACCAGTCCGGCCCTCGGGGCTGCAGGCCCCGCCTCCCTCTGCCCCCACCCAGGGGCCTTGGGGGGGCCCCACAGGCAGTGAGACGCGTGTGGGAGGGGCCCCCACTGCATGATGCCGGCCGCCTTGCTCGGGGCTCCCTCCGCCACCCCCGCACGCCGAGCTCCCGGGACCCTGCCTGCCCCAGGCCTGGTCCGACTGCTGAGGGCCGCTGCGTGCCTGGGGGAGCCGTGAGCTCCGCTCCAGAGAACTCCCAGGCGCAGCTCCGAGCGGGCGTGTGGGGCGTTCCTCCCAAGGAGGCCTGGGTCCTTTGTTTCTTCCGGGACTCCGGGCGCCAGGAGGCAAGCGGTGCCCCTCGTGACCCGTCCCCCACCCCCTCCTTTACAGGTGGCAGGAGCCCGTGACACACGCACGATGACAGAGGGGCCCCAGGGCAAAGCCCGCCACGCACGGGTTCCTGCAGGTGCCCCTGCTCGACCACAGGTGGATCGGCCCCCGATTCCGCCCCAGCCCCTGACCGCTGCCGGCCCACCTTCGCCACGCTCTGTAGCGCTCACCTGGCTCACCTGTGCCCGTGGAGGACGTGCGTGGACAGACCCCGGCAGGAGCGCACGGGCACACGTGTGAGGGCCGGAGCGGACACGCACGCGCACGGACACGCACACGGACACGCACGGACGCAGATGCGCAGGCACATGGACGCGCACGCAGGCGGACACGCACACAGGTGGACGTACACGCACTCGGACATGCACGCGGACGCGCACGCACACGGATGCACACGCACGCGGACGCGCGCACACGCACAGCCGGCTTCCTCCCGCGCCTGCCCCGGGCCCGTCCTCCACCGTGGCCGCCGCCGCCACCGCCAGCCCGCCCTGGAGGGCAGAGATGGACAGGCAGCGGCAGACCCGGGAGGTGGACGCCCACCCGACCTTGCTGTTGGTGTCCCAGCAGGGGCAGGGCAGGGTGAGGGGCCCGTGTAAACACGCACCTCCCGCAGGGAGCCGGGCAGGCTGCAGAACTTGTAGGCTGCGTAGATGGGCACCATGGACATGGAGGACGTGGCGATGGCCCAGCCCAGCGCGTTGGCCCACTCGGGGAAGATGTAGGCTCCGTAGTGCGGGGGCCTGAAGGTCACGATACTCACCACAACCACAAACTGAAACCGAGGGCAGAGTTCAGGCGGCGGCTCTCAGCGGGCGGCTGCGCTGAGGTGGGCCCGGGAGCGGGGGTTTCACCCGGAGGGTCTCCCGGCCAGGGCGGCTCTGGTGGCCCGGGCTGCCAGCCTGCTGCGCGTGCATGCCGCTCAGCCAGGACCGCGCTGCATGGGGGGCGGGGCGCGATGCGCACCCCCCTGCGGGATGCACGGCAGCCTCACAGCTGCCCCTTGAAAGCCTCACAGGTTATCATGTCCGGGAGACCCGGCCTGGCTTGTCCAGCGAGCACACCTGACCCCCTCAGCCCTCTGAGCACAGCCAGATGAACATGCTAGAAGCAGGCCTCAGGTGGCGGGGGGCGCGATCGGCAGCTTCTGAGCGTCTGCGCTCAGCTCAGGGAGAAACTGCGGATTATGTCAGCAACCAGGCTCCCGCTCGCTCCCTCTCTGCCTGCCTGTCTCTCTGTCTCTCCGTCTCTGTCTTTCCGTCTCTGTCTCTATCTCTATCTCTGTCTCTGCCTCTCACCAGCCCTGGGTTGGCCCAGGAGGTGCGTTCGTTCCAGACGTGCCAGGGGTCGGGGAGATGTGCGTCTCTGTGAGGAGCTCGGGGGGCTCTCTGCTCAGACGCGGACAGCCCTTGAACGGCCTCCGGGGTCACCTGTCCAGACCGGGCAGGACAGGTCAGGCTCTGTGAGCCATCAGGGCTTGGCCACATGACGACTCCCCTGGCTGCTGTAGTGGGGACGCAGCCGTGGGCCGTCGTAAGGGGATCCGCGTGGCCCTGTTCTAATGGAACCGGCGGCCGGTGGACTTGGCCCATGGGCTTGGGCTGGCGGCCCCTGGCCTGATGAGAAGAGCCAGGCGGCTACGGGACGTGCTCGGGGTGGTCATGCTGGGACAGGATCTAAGTTACTCCTGTCCTCGGCATTTGAGCCTTGTGCCCCCTACCCCTGGAAGTGTACATCCCGTGACTGTCCTCAGGGCAGGAGCCAGCCGGTGGCCGTGCTCAGCTCTGGCCTCCCCCCCACGGCAGCGCTGTGACGCACAGGGGAGTACCACCGTGGATCCAGCGTGAGGTTTCTCAGTGGGCCCAGAGAGTGGGGGGCACCTTCAGGAGACCACGGAGGATTTTAGGGGACAGCCCCTCCCCAGCCTCACACGAAGGAGCGAGAGCCCAGGCGCGTGCGGCCACCAGGGGCCCTGGGGCCAGTGTGGGCGGTGGCGTGCATGTGGGGTCCTTACCAGGAGGAAGCAGGGGCTGACAAACTTCCAGCACAGCCTCCAGTAGAGGCTGGGCCGCTGCCCGGTCATCTGCTTGATGTCCTCGCTGAACTGCCTCACGCCTGTGGTGGAGGGAGCCGAGCGGGCCGGTCAGGATGGCACGCTCCCCGCCCCGGGTCCCACCCCACCTCCTGCAGCTCCCCCAGACCTCCCGCGAGTGGGGGGTCAGGACGGCAAGTTCCCCGCCCCGGGTCCCACCTCACCTCCTGCAGCCCCCGCAGACCTCCCGCGAGTGGGGGGTCAGGATGGCACGCTCCCCCCCACTCAGACTTCCCACTGGTGGGGGGGTCAGGACGACATTCTCCCTGCCCCGGGTCCCACCCCACCTCCTGCAGCACCCCCCAGGCCTCCCAGTGCTCCTGCTGGCCAGGGTCCCCACACGTGTTCACTGTGGTGACACTGGGAGACGGGCACTCCTCAACCGTCTTGCGCACCGAGGGACATGTAGGGGCGCCGGCAGCTCGCCTGCCCTCTCTCCGTCCTCTTCCTCCCTCAGCGCTTCCTCCCTCGCCCTAGGCTGTCCTGCCTCCCCTCGGCCAGAACTACTTCTTTTTCTCTTTAAAAAAATTGTGGTATTAAGGAGGGCACGTCCTGCATGGAGCACTGGGGGTTATACGCAAACAATGGAACGTGGATCACTACATCAAAAACTGATGATGTACTGTATGGTGACTAACATAACGGTGAAAAAATTGTGCTAAAATACCCATAACAAATTTTACCATTTTAATCATTTTTAAGTATGGCGTTCAGAGATGCTAATTCACATTGCTGTACAACCACCACCAGCATCGGATGGTTCTAGCTGGAACTTTCCATCTCCCCAAACTGAAGCTCTGTCCCATGAAGCACTAACTCCTCTCCCCCCTCCCCCACCCGGGCGCCCACTGTCACTTTCTGTCTCACATGAGTGCAATCCTACGGGATTTGTCCTATTATGACTGGCTTATCTCACTCGGCAGGATGTCCTCAAGGTTCCTCCGTGTTGTGGCAGGTGTCAGAATGTCCTTCCTTTCAAGGCTGGACAATATTCCACGATATATTTATAATCATTATTTCTTAAGGAAAGCTATTTCTAAAGCTTAGTGAACTGGCACTTTCTCTAAGAGATCTCAACAGTGATTTCTCCCACCCCGAGTCTGGCCTGGCCTCTGCTCGGACGACCACAGTTTGTCCACTGAGCCTGGGGTGAGTCTCGTGGGCCTCACGTTGGGGACACGTTGGGAAGACCCCTCCATTCAGAATTCCCTCTGCACAAACCAACCCCATCATCGGAACCCTGGACATGGAGATGGACCAGGGGCAGAGTGGAATGGAGAAGGGCAAACCCAAGGCCATCCCCTCGGCCCCTCTGGACTCAGCCCCACGAGTGGTCAGGTCAGCCCACGGCCCCTCCTGGCGCTGGGCTGTTGGCTCGAAGACCGACAGGACCGTTGGTGCACAGACCCAGCACACTCTGATACATCTCCCAAGAAACACAGACTGTGTGTGGGGATTAGAGATGTGAACGGCCATTTGGAGAAACAACGTGGACTCTGTCTTCCGAGGCTCTGGGGAGCACGCGGTCGCCAGCGTCTCTCCCGCCTCACCAGCACTGAGCTCATGACCGAGGGACACGTTTGGGGCACTTCCTCTCTTTCACTGTGGGGTTTCATTTGGGGGTGGGGGAGAGAGCCCAATTTTAAATGATCAAGTATTGATTCCAGGTGCCAATGAAAGCAGAGTTCGATATTTCCCTTTTCTGTAGAAAAGAAAATATAATTGAAAAAGCGTTCTGGGAATGTGAACTATTTGTCAGGTGTAGCCTCTCAAAGCCGACCTGCTTCTTCGGGCCACGCTGTCCATGGCCCCGAGGCCATGCCCACTGGGTGACCCTAGGGCTCCCACGGGAGGGGAGCTGGTGCAGCCTGCAGACCGTTAGCTCTGGGCTGGAGCTCACAGCCAGGGAGAGTGCACCTGATGCCCAGAGCTGTCACTGCTAAGTGCCCCAGAGAAGCCTGGCCAGGAGCTCCCTCCTTCCGGGAGAGCAGGCAAGGTGGGCAGCTGGCCCAGGTCAGCATCCTGGGAAAGGATGCCTTCTCCAGCTCGGGTGCCCGTGGCTGTCACAACGCCCGCGACGCGGCCCAGCGGGCCAGCAGGGACAAGCCAGCCGTGGCTGCAGGGGGCCCAGTCTCGTCTGGACGCTGCCTGCCCACCAGTGGCTCCCAACCTCGGGGGGCGCGGAGCTCTAACTCAGGAGCCAGTGGCTGACTGGTCAGCAGCGAGGGCGTGAGGAGCTGACGGTGAGTGTGGCGCGGTGAAACACGCTGATCAGCCCCCACCTCACGACCTGCATGCTGGTCACGTTCCCCAGGGAGGAACAGGCCTGTTTCGTAGCCGATTGAGGAGACCTCACCTCCGCTGGGCCCGTAAGCCATTCTCTCTTAATGACCAATGAGGACATCGGCACAGTATGATCAGGTGGCCACACCAAACAGTTCTGACCACAGTAAGCGTTTTGGGGTGCCCCCTCCGGCTAACTGCGCTCATCGATCTGGCTGGTCCCAGTGACGGCACCGCAGCTGGGTCTGCCACCTGCTGACGCACACCGGCCCCGGAGGAGGGCCCGTCCTTACCGTAGAACCAGGCCACCCCGATGGCCTCGACAAGCACTCCGAAGAGGATGGACGTGCCGGCCGCAAAGTGGTCCAGCAGCGTGAAGACGTAAATGCCGCCCTGGAAGAGGGGGTGCCCGCTGAAATTGGGGTGCCCGGTGCGGCACGCCTCACCCGAGGAAGCCCACAAAAACACTCTCCCCAGATAGACACTGGGCCTGCGGATTCAGTTTACAGACATAGTCTATCGTGAAGTCCGGTTGGAGTCACTGAAATTCAGTCCACGCACAGCTTTTCAGGGACGTGCCTTTTGTGCGGGAATGGCAAGGACCTCTCTTCTCCTCTCCTCTCCCCTCCCCTCCCACTCCTCTCCTCCCTCCCCTCCCCCCCAGGGGCGCTCCAGGTGCAATCAGAGGTGAAAGCAGCCGAATGCCAAACTTGGGAGGGGAGCTGACCCAGGCCCCGCTCCCCGTGGTCAGGCCTCCCCTGGCCCCCAGCCCCGCAGATGCAACAGGCAGGCGCTTAGCCCAGGCCGCTTCCAAGGGGGCCGTCCAGGAGCTGCAGGAACTTGAGACCGCTTCCCACGGACCACGGCTACCGCTGTGACCACGGCTACCCTGTGCGACCACGTAGTCCCACGTGTGACCACGGCGATCCGCGTGTCATCAGCATATCAGTACAAGTCACGGCTTGGGGCTCTCAGACAGTACCAGCCACGCTGCCAACACCAAGTGCTAGCGAGGCTGCGCCAGGCAAAGCGAGCATGGCTACGTACGTTGGTGACACAGAAGAGTGAGAGGAGGAAGGTGGCCAGGACGACGAAGAGGGTGAAGAGCTCCCGGTGCTGGTGCAGCAGCTGAAACTCGTCAACGAGCCCGGTGATCACCGACTCCATCCCGCCCATCTGCAGCCAACAGAGCGGGGGCGCTGCGGGGTGGGGCGCGATTTACGTCACGTCCAACGGACCTACACCTGGGGCGTGGACACGAGTGGGGGCCGCACAGCATCCAGGCTGCCGAGTGCCCTGCACGCGAGGCAGCCCGCAGCCCCCGGAAAGAGGACCCGGGGGTGCGCGCTGTCCCGTGAGGGGACGTGCTCAGCCAGTCTGCAGCCCCATGTGGCTAACGTGGCACCATCCGCTAAAATCGCCACAAAGCCTCGGCCCTGCCCGACTGCTCCAAACACGCGTCTCCCCACAGCACAGCCCTACTTTGTTCTTGGGGAGGACCCGGCGTGGCCACGGGCACAACCTTCCTGACTCTGAGTGTCGTCATGATGGGGTGTCCTCCAAGTATCCTGGCCTACTTGGTGACCCTCTTTGCCCTGCTGTTCATGGGATTCATCCCCGCCAGATGTGCGGTCCAGGGCTGTGGTCACCCAGCAGGCGTTGACCAGGCTGGCTGGGAGACGACAGCCGGAGGCTAGGGCGTGTGACCCACATTCACAGGGGGCAGGACTTGTGCTTCTCTGCACTTTCCAGGAAGCTCTGGGGGACAGGGCACCCGTGGCCACTCATGGGGACCCTGAGGTCTCAGCTGTTGGTCCTGAGCAGGCAATGGGGACACAGGAGCCTGAGGAAGTGCTGCAGGCCCACATTCGTCCTCCCTAGTGCACACACATGCACGCACTCACACCCATGCACACGCGAGCACGTGCACACACACACAGGGCTGCACACGCGATATTCAGCGGGCCAGGCCTGGGCTGCAGCTGGAGGCTTTGCTGCCCTGCTCTGCAGGTGCATCCAACCCTCCTGGGGGGCTCTGGGGTCAAGGAAAGCAATGAGTCAGGAGGGACCGGCCCTGGCCCTGGGGGGTCCTCACCCCGTTCCCTGCACTGCGTCCTGCTGCCGGCTTGTATGTGTGTGTTCGGGTCTTAGTGACTTGGGCAGAGGGCACAGCTGGAGGCCCCGAGTGAAAGAGGGGGTGAGTGGGTCCAACACCCCACCCAGGAAGGGTCTCAGCAGTTGTGGGACCCTCTTCCCGCCACGCGGGGCTCTGTAGCGCAGGAGGTCTGGGAGACCCTTCAGGGGCATCGGGGTCTGCCCGCCCCGTGAGGGCTGTGAGGAAGTCTGGCTGTCACAGGCAGGCCCCCCTGGTGCGCGAGGTGCTGAGGTCACTCACGGCGCTGTCGATCCCCAGGGTGAGCAGCATGATGAAGAAGATCACGGCCCAGGCCGAGGACAGTGGGAGCGTGGCCAGCGCCTCGGGGTAGATGATGAAGATCAGCCCGGGCCCTGAAAACAGACCTGCCTGTTGCCGCTGACTGGCGGCTCCCCTCTTCCCCCACCCAGGGAGGCCGACATAGCAGTAAGGTGACAAAATCCCTCCCAGCGCCTTCTTCCCCGTTCTCCCTCAAGAGTCCTCTCTCCTGGGAACTCAGTGGACACCTGGCCCAGGACTCCAGAGAAGGGAAACCTGATGTCAGCCGGAGGCCCGCACCTTGTTCCTCTGGGTCCTTCTGGTCTGCGTGGGGCTGTGGGGGCTGGAGAGGCTGGAGCAGTACCAACACAGGTAAGGGCGGGAGGGGCTCCAGCAGCCTGCCCGCCGTCCCTGACGACCTCCGTCAGGCCTCCTGGCCTGCTTTCCTGTGCACATCACAGACACACGCACGCACCCCCCACATGCATGCTCTCTCTCACACACACACGCTCACACGTGCACATGCACACATGCTCACACACACGCATGCTCTCTCATGCACACATGCATGCTCACACACACGCACACACGCATGCATGCTGACACACGCACACATGCACACACATCCATGCTCATACACGCACACATGCTCTCACACAGCACACATGCTCATGCACACACAATGCTCTCTTACACATGCATGCTCACACACATGCACACATGCACGTTCACGCACACGCATGCTGACACACATGCTCATACATGCACACATGCTCTCACACGCACACATATGCATGTTCACACACATGCATGCTGTCACACACGCACGTGCATGCTCACACACACATGCTCTCACACACGCACACATGCTCACACTCACTGAGGTACATTTAGCAATATATGAATATTTTTCCATGCCAATGAGTAACTGTGTCTGATCTTTAAAAACCATGTAATGAATATGGAAATACTACAGCTCAGCAAATGCTTGAAAGGGGCAAGTTTCTGCTCACATAGCAGCTCCCCTGGGATCATTCCCTTTCAGGACATCCCAGGAGTGGGGCTGCTGTGTGGAGCATACGCATGCTGGGAGGCATGCCTGCTCCCTCACCCCGCCGTAGAATCTGGGTGGGCGTGGGGGCCGTGGCTCAGACAGAGGCAGGGAGGCGGGGATGGAAACGGTGCAGGGCTCAACCAGACTCGCAGCAGTTTGGCCTTGATGATCCCCAAAGTAAAAACATTCCCACAGGAAACTAATCATTTCCATGGTCACTTTTAAAAGATGGGCCTACTTAACTCACTCACATGGCCTTCCGAGCCTTTACGCACAAAGACGTGGCTTCCCTAATCTCTCAGTCCTCAGCAGGGCCGTGGCGGGCACCAGCCGACGGGGGCTGGGCGCTGACGGATCTTTGTAGAGGATAGAACAGAGTTCCACAGCCACGCTGTCCTCACAGCCCCGTGCTCAGGCCGGGGCTCTCTGCAATTCCTGCCCCCATGCAAGGGGCACAGTCCCCAGTGCAGGGCTGAGGGGCGGCTCATTTGAGACGCTCTAGAGCCTAAATGCTATGAGCCACAGACCCAGGTAGAGGTCGGTCAGCTTGGTTGAACATGATGTCAATATCTTCGCCTTTCAGTTCTGTACCTGAGTTAACATTTCACCCTGTTTTCTTGAGAATTAGAGCTATAAATGACATTTACTTTGCTTGTCATGGAAATGCATAGAAGATATTCACTCTACTTCCAGGGGTTAATAGAGGTTTTTGTAAGCTATTGCTATTTATCATAAAAAAGGGCAAAAGCACGGGAAATGCATAAATGCAGCAGTGAGTAAATTTCACTGCTCTGTATTTATTTGCTTTATGTTCCCATTCTCCTGCCTTTATTGGATTTTTTCCTGGAGGCAAGGATGTGGACTTAGGAAGCACATACGCCCGGACGCCCAGCCCCTGCTTTCCCTGCCAGTCCCGGAGGGCCGGACCTCTGCTTCCTACTTTCAAACTGGGGTCCGAAGGCTCAACACTGCAAGAATCGGATGGGATGGAGGCTAAGGGCTGCGGGCACGGGTGGGGGGCCCTCTGCTCCCCCGTCCCTACTCCCACTTAAGAATAAAAAGATTCAGGAAGAGATGAGTCAGGGACACCCTCACGGGCTTTCCTGAGCCTGAGGAGCAGCCCCAGGAGAAGATAGGCCTTTTCATAGAAAGTGGACGGGTAAGGACAGACTCCAGGGGAAGAGTCCTCCTCACTCACCCCAGAATAATCTGACGGCAGGTGAGGGGTTGCAGTGATCTCAGGAGACCCTGCTGTCCCGGCCCGACCCAGTGCCATGGCTTTCTACCCACACACTAGGACTGAGCAGCCCCTTCCGTACCCCACCCCTGCACCTGGCCTCCTGCTGGGGCCCAGCCTGCTCCCTGGGTCACCTGTGCCCCCTCCCACCTGCCCACTTCCTGGCACGCAGACACCTGGTGTTCGCGGCTGGCTGGTGAGCAGGTTGGGAACAAGGGTCTCTGTTGTCCCTGTGTGCCCAAGACTTCGTGATTCCTCTGGTTATTACCCAAATCCCACCTACATATGTCATGATCACTGGGTGTTTGGAGGGGAAAGCTTTGGCGCCGATGAACGGCTCATGTCCCAAATCCACCAGGCTTCTCTCTGGCCTTGCTCTCCGGCCCTGTGGGCTGTGTGGCCCCCACCCCTGAGCTGCATGGGCCTCCTTCCAAAGCGTAAACAAAGACTAGGCCTACCCTGAGACGGGGAACCAGACCCTGTCCTGCAGCCCCGGGGCCTCTGCCGGGGGCTGGCGACCAGCGGGGCAGCAGTGGGGTGTGGGAGGCGTGTCGCCGCCCCGGGGACCCGTCCACGGGTTCTCTGCTCTGGAACACGTGCGGCTCGTGTGAGCCAGACGCAGGGCCCGAGCATCTCCCTCCCACTGCACGGGGTAAACACTCAGAGGCCTGGGTGGCCAGGGCTGTGGGGCGGGCGGAGCTGTGGGGACGCCGGGCCTGCCCTAGGGAGACTCACCGTCCTTGGCCACGTCCCCGATGGGCACGCTGTGCTTCTGGGCCACGTACCCCAGGAAGGAGAAGACCACAAAGCCGGAGGAGAAGCTCGTCAGGGAATTGACGGAGGTGGTGATGACCGCATCTCTGGGGAACAAGACACACGTCCCAGCCATGCCTTGAAGCAGGGGCAGCTTCCTGCCTTTGTCCTTAATGCGCTGCGTCTGGGGGCAGGCGGGCTTTGGAGGGGTGCTTTTGCAGAAGGGCCCCCCCAGCCCCTCCCGTGGGCTGCACCGCAGAGAGGCTGGTGCCCGGGCTGACAGGACCCCCAGCGGAGCAGCTCTAAGGCTCTGGCTGCGTCCCGGCTTTGGCCCGGGCAGGCCCTGTGGTGACCAGCCATGCGTGTCCGCCCAGGAACCGAGGGGCTTCTGGTGCTCACGACTCAGTGTGAAGGTGAGACAGCCCCCACCTGCAATGTGGGGGCTCCGGGCGGGCAAACGGAAACCAGCAGGGTCCCCACCCATGCTCTGCAGGGGGCTGTCTGGCAGGATGTCTAGAAGCCTGGGGGGCGGAGCTGGTTGAAATGCAGTTCTGAGGGGGTGGGTCTGGGGTCCCCCGAGCATGGGGGACCCCATTCAGAAGGCTGAGAACTCAGAGGGCCAGAGGGAAGGAGAGGTGGGGGAGCAGGGGTGCGGTCAGCCCCTCCGGGCACCGGCGTGGAAGGACATTTGCTGAGTGCCCTGACCCTGGCGAGGCCCAGGTGGGCTCGGGCAGGGGCTGTCCACCTGCATGTGTGGCCACTTTGCTATGCATGCTGTGTTTGTATTTTTACTGCATCTTCTGTCCTCATGATGTGAAGAAAATAAACACAAGCCCATAAGGGTCAAAGAAAGCAGGTCCCAGATAAACTTGCTTTTGTTTTTAGATGGATTTTGGGTCCAGCCTGTGGCTGCAGGTCACTCAGCTCTGGCACTTCGCTGCCTGCCCTGGAGCCGGGTGCCCTGAGCACCTTGGGGAGGCCTGGCCCTGGGGGCCGGGAGGCAGGGGCAGCTGGGGCCGGGCAGGCGATGGACGAGGGGGCAGAGGCTGGGGCCCTCAGTGGCGACTCCGGGAGGTGGCGAACACCTTCATCTGTTCCGGTACTTTCTTTAGAGCGAGAACCAAATTGCCTGTAGCTTCCGCCTTTTAATTTCCACTAAAGAGCCATTCTGGCTCAGAGGCCCTGTGAGCACAGCGTATCCCCCCTCCCTGTATCTGGGGACACGTTATTTCCAGAAGTCAGTGACTTGGCAGAACCCGGGATGGGGACAGGTGCTCGGGACTTACCTGTAGCAGTTGTTGGTAAATTTATTGTAGCTGGAGAAGGCAATTAGCACCCCGAACCCAACGCCCAGCGAGAAGCATACCTGGGTGGCAGCATCTATCCACACCTGCATAGAGCCAGACAAGAGAGGTAATTGCAGGGACTGCACTGAACCCGGGAGACCGGCTATCACAGGGCCAGCGAGGGCTCCACGGAACGGGGTCGAATTGAAACACAACATTGTCACCAACGAGCCAGTGGCATTGACAACATGATCAGCGGGTTACACCCGCCGTGTCCCCGGCCCCAGAGTGCAGCTCACGGAAGGGCTGTATCTTGGTGCTTTATTTGCAATTTTCCTCGGAACGTCAGCACCGCTGTGTGCACGGCCAGACTTGTAGTTAATTTATTAAGGTGCGACGGACGTTGATGCCTCGGTCAGACGTGCCCACTCGTGTCCGCTGTCTTTCCCACGGCATTTAAAGCCACGGGCTCACGGTACGCACACAGCGGCAGCCGTGGAAAGGCTGTGAAGCCCAGGCACTGGTGTGGGCTCGCTCGGTGCACCCGGGCCAAGTGAGAGCCCGTGGCGGATAACTGCACCAACGTGGTACTTTTAAAGGTCAAACTCAACTGTTCACACCAGGGTGACGCGGAGACCACCTGGGGCTGTGGGCACTGCCTCGCCCCTACGCAGCCTTGGGTGGGGGTGGAAAGCAGCTGAACCCCACCCTGGGGGCATCTCCCAGGAGGACCACATAAGCCATCTGAGGGGTCTGGGGGCTTGTTGGCCCTGGGGGCTGTCCCTGAGTGACCAGGCAGCCCATGGTGCAGGCCTGAGGGCAAGAGCCCTCAGGCAGTGACACCAGAGATCGGCTGGGCACACGGGGCGACCTCCAAGGGCCCCAGGGTGGCTGGCCTGAGTATGACCTCACAGGGGAGCTGGACAGGATGCAGCAGAGGAGGCCGGAGCCTACGGCTGCTGGGAGGTGGCCACCAGCCCACGCTCCAGGACCAGCAGGACGTCTGTCCTTTGGGCAGCATGCCCAGAGTCTTTGGATCACCCTGGTGTCAGGGACAGTGTGTTCCAGGCAGCGGGCTAGGCCTCAGCATGCGGCCTTGAGTAGCTGAGTGGTGAGTGGGCCAAGGGGCCTCTGCCCTGCTGTCCCCCTTGTGCTTGTCATCAGTTAGCTAGCTTGGCCGGGCCGCTGCGGGCAGGAGCCGTGGTCACAGGGAGAGCCCCTGCCTCCTGCTTAGTGCCAGCCCTCACCAGGTCAGTGCCCACCCCTGAGCCTTCGCACGTGTGACCCCCCCTCCAGGATGTGCCTCCTGGACGACTGTCCAGGCCTTTGCTCACCGCCGCCCCGAGGACCCAGCTCTGGACCCAGTGCAGGACCCATCCTGGAAGCCCCCCTGGCAGCCTCTCTTGGCCGACGTAGAACTGCCTTCCTTCCTTTAGCACCTGACCTCTCCTCTCCTGCGGGAATGGAGCTCTTCCAGGATGGGGTTCTGTCTGCCCCAGCCTCGACCTGTCCCAACCTGTCAACCAGCCCAAGAGCTGCAGATGAATGAATAAGGGTCTGGATGCCATCCGAGGATGCTGACCCCTACGGAGAAGTCCCTTGTCCAGATGGGGGATCCAGAAATGGATCCCCAGGATGCAGGGCAGTCTCTGTGTCAGAGCAGTGCAGGGTCCATAGTACCAGGGACATGGCAAGGGATGGAGCAGATGGTCCCTTCTGTCCTGTCTGCTTGCGGGGCAGGGCCCATGTAGAACCTCTGCTCCTGACTTACTCTAGACCAGTGAGGATGCTGGCCAGGCCTCCTGCCTGCAGCAGACTCCATCAGATCCCTCTGGACCGAACCCCGAGGGATGGGTCAGGGTCAAGCCTGGGATAGTGCTGGGGAGCCCGTGACTTGATCAGGGCCAGCTCCTGCAACTATATCCCTGGGGGCATCTGTGGGAACTGCCCCAACTGCTAAGCCCCAGAGAAGGATGCCTAGGGCCACTTGATCTCTGAGTGTGGCCATCAAGAGCCTGGGGGGTGGGAGTATGGGTAGCACCTGGGCCAGGAGGAGCCCTGGGAGGACATCCCAGGATGACCACCAAGCCAGTGAGCCCCTGTCCCTGCCCTATCCAGAGGAGGCCTAGAGGAGCTGATGCAAAGATCAGCCAGGACCCCACAGCAGGACCAGGAATGGCTCCACCCTCTGGACTGGGGACAACATGGACCTGTCCATGGGACCTCAGGCTCACCTGAGCCCAGGGGTTGTAGTCCTGCTCTGTCCTGGTCTATGTCCCTTCTGAGCCCTGAGCTGACAGGGTGCTTGGAGAGGATGGAATATGCTGGTTTGTCCAAGATATTAATCATCTATCTGTCACCCATCAACTATGTGTCCATCAATCACCTACCTATCCATCCATCTATCCATCTATCTATCCATCTGTATATCATCTATCTATCCATCCATCTGTCCATCCATCATCTATCTATCCATCCATCCATCCATCATCTATCCATCCATCTATTATCTATCTGTCCATCCATCTGTCCAACCATCCATCATCTATCCATCCATCATCTATCCATCCATCCATCATCTATCTATACAACCATCCATCATCTATCCATCCGTCTATCCATCCATTATCTATCTATCCATCCATCTGTCCATCCATCATTTTCCCATCCATCATCTATCTATCCATCCATCATCTATGTATCCATCTATCCATCCATCCATCCGTCCATCCATCCATCCATCCATCCATCCATCATCTATCTATCCATCCATCTGTCCATCCATCCATCATCTATCCATCCATCCATCATCTATCCATCCATCTATCCATCATCTATCTATCCATCCATCTATCATCTATCCATTTGTCTATCATCTATCCATCCATCTATACATCCATCATCTGTACATCCATCCATCTGTCTATCCATTCATCCTCTATCTATCTATCCATCTATTATCTATCTCAATGTACCTATCATCTTCCACCTTCTACCTATCCTCTCTGTCTCATTTCTGACAACCTCTCATCTGTCATTTACTCTTCTCTGCATCACACATGAGCATCATTCTGCACGCACTGGCACATGTCTGGCTTTCTCCTATGCACTGCCTGGTTTTCCTCCCCAAAGCACTAGCTCCCTTATGTTGTCCTCATGTTATTTTCTTCGATTTCTTCATCATGGCCCCCTGGCCTGTGACACCCACGGCCACCTCCTCCTGCAAGCATACCTGTGGCTGCCCATCGGCTTTCTGCAGTGTGGACACTCTCTCTCTCCCCTTGCTCACACAGAGCCTGCATCTGCTGCTCTCATGGTCTTACTGCCGCCCTTGTGTGGACTTCCCAGTGACCCCGCCCAGTGCCACTTTCCCTGCCCTCACCTGTGGGTGCCTCCCACTGCTGCTGCAGCTTCACATCCTCCCTCTGCCGCTCCCTCACTCCTGGGGACTCCCTGGGGGCTAGGAGCCACACCTGCCTTCCCTCCTATCTGTTCCTTCCCATTTCCACCTCAGGGCTGTGCCTTCTTGCGTCCCTGGTGGGTGCCACACCTGACTCACCAACACCTAGTAGCACTGGGCAACAATCCTCCAAACAGCCCCTTGTCCCCAGCATCGTGCCCCCCACGCCCCAGCTACCCCTCCCCATTATGTCTCATGGCCCTGCTACAGTGAGTCCCCTGGGTGGCCATTGGTGTCCCCACCATCTGCCAAAATCTAGTGCATCTGAATTTTCAGTGCTCTCCTGAGAATGCTACCTTTCCCATCATCCCCGCCACCTCTGGCCAATGGCCACTCCCATTTCTGGGCCTTGTTTCCCTAAAATGCCGCTGGCCCTTCTCTCTCCCTCTCTTGGGAGACCTCTGTCTGTCCCATGGCCTGGCCAAGCCCCCTCTTTTCGGGAGGCTGTCTCCAAGTATTTTAACACAGAACGATTGCTCTCTTTGTTGAAGAAATACGTAGCCCAGCTGCAGACTTCATTTTTGATGTGATGTGATTTAGATTTCTCTCTGTGCCATGGGCACTGAGAGTGTGCACCAACCACTGGGCACCAATGAAGTTTGGCTTCCTGAGGAGGGAGACTTTATCCATGCAACCACGATGACCACAGAGCCAGAGATCAGGGCTGCACTCCAGGTGAGTGGCCACACTTTCTGGCACAGACTGGGCAGCCCATCGGTGCTTATTGGAGGAACCTGAGAGCGTTCCCTTAGGAAGTAGGGATGGGCCAAGGGGAAGATGCCAGTTGGAAGCAGCCTTCCATTCTGTTCCCGCAGAGACTGAGCAGGTGGTCTGCTCCCCTTTCTTATTTGGTCCACTGAGCTCCCTGCTGTGCCCCACATGTCTCCCGTTTCAACCCGATGGTGAACTCTGCTGGGTGGGGTCCCGCGTGCAGCTGGTCTTGCAGAGCCCAGCGCATAGCAGGGCAACCTACACCTGCCACATTTACAGGGTGAATAAGAAAGTCTGGCCCAGCTGCTGCTACCTTTGGGATCTCCTGCCCAAACACAGGAGTCCCGTGGCATGGAGCCTGCCAGTGCATGTGGACTGGGGGCCGCAAGCGGAGGGCATACTCACAGAAGACTCGCAGAGCCGATGGAAGTCTACACTCAGGTACGCTCTGATGCCATCGATGGCCCCAGGGAGTGTGATTCCTCGCAGAAGCAGGGCAAAGAGGACCACATATGGCATGGTGGCTGTGATCCACACAACCTGGGAGAGTACAGCATCACCGGGCAGCACCGGCCACCCACTGGCAAGGTGGCCACAGGGTCACCCTCGTTGGTGGCTTCTGGTTGGGAAGCCCATCATCCCAAACACTCACAGGATGCCAGCTCAGCAAAGGCTCCCTGCAGTGGACTATTAATGCCCTCTATCCTGTAACTTCCCAGGGATTAAAATGGAACAGACAGTTTGGCAAAGAAGGGACATTCCTCTTCTGCATTTGATCTGTAGTATGGCTGGAGTGGTTGAGTTTCTAATGAGTGAGATGCAGTGAATTTGCACTGGTTGTGCAAATACACATCTACATGGTGTGTAAAAGGTGAACTCTGGGCTTGGAGGTGGGGGGAGGAAAGGAACCTGTCCTTACTGAGAGACTCTGGGGTGTTGGCCCTCCACTACAGGTTTACAAGCAAGTGATGGGCACGTTTTGGTCAAAATTGCTTGGGGTCCCCAAATAATAACCAAAATATTTTCATCAACAAAAAACAATTTATGTTGTGCTTGTTCATGCTGGAAACACCCTGTTGTGAGTGCCTTCCCTTTGACATCATTCTTTAACCATGGCTACCTGTCCACTCCCCAGCCTACCA